GATATTTATTACTGAATATTACAGTAAATGTGGCACATGGCCAAAAAGGGGGTGGGTAAAAGAGACGGTTATCATCTGTCTTAATTTATAACTTAGCTAGCTACAACCACTGACCCAATCGTACAAAGCAGTAATCCTAGCACCAAAACAACACATTCATACTTACCTTTCTTACTACATCCACCAAAATACCTCATTGTCTCAATGAAAGTCCTAAATAGTTCCCATATGTACAAATCGTTGTCTGTGAGGAGAGGGGAATAAAAACAACAAGCTAAAAGCATCCCAATGATATATATATATATATATATATATATATATATAATATGGTTATAAACTATTTACAAGAAACTAAACAAAATCATGTTAGTAATAAAAAAAATGTGGCAGAAAAATCAGTTAACTAGACGAAATCGATGCGGGACTTTAAGAATCTAGCTTTCTTCCATCCCATTCATCCATCCCAAACACTCACACAGATATGCACTCATTCTGACACAACAACAAATACGAAAAACACTCACGCGAAACGAAAGGCGCCCCGCATCCACCAGAGAACAGAAATCACTGACCACCTAACGAGGGAGGGGATGGGGAGTTAAACTAAAAGAAAAAAAGTGGGGCAGAAATAAAAGGGGCCAATGAGCAAACACACCCTAGCTAAGTTTACTGGAAAAGAAAAACTAAAGAATCAAAAACCTACTTCTAGCCTAAATCCAGGGATAGGTTACCTAAGTTTAAACCAGGAAAACAATATTCTGATGCCTAACCGACATCAAAATGCCACTCCAAATCAGCCCCATTTACTCGGCACATACGCGCAAGATTCACCCACCTTTTGCTGAATTCTGATGAGGTGAGCCGCTGCCTTTCCGTCCTGATCTTGACTTTAAGCTGATGCTTAAAGAACAAGATCAGTTGGGAAGAAGTGAACTTCTCGCCCTCATAGAATTATTTCTGACGCGTCGTCCAAATCACGACTCTCATAACCCCTAATAAGCAACAGAACACATAGTGTTCAGCCTTCGTCATTTGCGGCACCACATTGCTACAAACAGAACTGGCCTCAAGGACAAAGAACTTTCCCTGCATCATGCGGACCATGAGGCCTTCAACAAACTTGCACAACGGCACTACCATCCTGCAATGAAAGAAGGCGTGACCAATGGTCTCGACTTCTCCAATACAGCGACGGCAGTTTGGATATTTCTCCAAGCCTGCTGAACAAAGTCTCTTGGCGACTCAGAGGGCCCCACGAATCACCAGCCAGGTGAGTGATGCCTCATCGTTAGTGAGACATTTCAACCCAGACTCCCAAGTCCATATCCAGCGATCCTCCTGCTTCGTAAGACCGAGCTCGTCAATCAGATCATCCTGAACGGCCCCCCTGACTAATACTTGATACAATACCCTACGAGACAACGCCTGGACGTTGGAGAGGCCATCCGACGCACGTAAGTTTCAGAGCACGACGACATTCGTGATAGAAGGAGCATTCGGCTCGGGGTGTACGGCCGGCCTCCTCCCGGCACGAGTGCACAGTTCTCAGGAATAAGAAATGTTTACTGACGTCTTCCTTCCAGAAGGCGCCATCCTCATCCGATCCGCGACACATTCGGTCTAGAAAGTAGATGCGAAGCATATGTTGACGAATCTCAATGCTAGGCATAACCACACTGCCCTCAGAGGGATGAAGGCAACAGATCTCGCGAGATACCATAGTGGACTTGTCTCTCCGCAAGAAAGAGAAGAGCCTTACTAATTAGTCTGGTATACGGGAGTGGAAGTAGAGAGTCGGTAAAAGAGAATCGGGTAGATGTGTGAAACACATACTTCCGCCCTCCCCTTCAAGGAAAGCCTCCTCCGAGACCACAGATTAACCGCGATCTCGGCCTTCCCTTGTACCTCCGACCAATTCATTTCCAACTGGAGATCAGGACCGAACCAGACGCCGAGTACCTTGATCGTCCCATCCGTCTAGAGAAAAGGTCCGGGAAGAGAAACTCCCTTCCACGCACCCAACCGCAAGCCAACAGACTTATCGCGGTTGATCTTGGCCCCTGTCACCATCTGATCAATAAGTCAATCGTCAATCTCGGCTCTGCTCGACACAAGAACCGAAACGCCGTCAGCATAGGCAGAATACCTGGCTGAGGCGGTAGCCACAGGCAGGGAAATTCCGCGTAGGACCGGATTCGCCTTTAACTTGGAATGGTTCCAACGCAAGAACGTAAAGCAAAGGCGACAGCGGACAACCTTGACGAATGGAGCGAGACAATACGAAAGGCTTCGATCTTACCCCATTCACCTCCACCAGCGCACCGGAGGTCGCATACAAAAGTCGGATCCAGGAGCGAAAGTCGGCTCCGAAACCAGCCGCCGAAAGGACAGCCTCCAGAAACCGATGGTCAACCCTATCGAAGGCCTTGGACTGATCTAAATTGATCAGCGCGGCTTCACTGTCGACTTGTTCTAAGATCAAGCGTACTATATGCAGGTTATCCTGAATAGTCCTGCCCTTCACAGCACACGTCTGTTCGGAGCCAATCAGACCAGACAGGACAAGCTGTAAACGGTTGGCTAAGATCTTCGCCAAAATCTTTAACTCTGTGTTTATTATAGTCAAAGGGCGAAAGTTATTTAACCCATCGACATCGATCTTGTCCTTACGCAGCAACTTGATCACGCCCCTGGTGAAGCGTTGGGGTATAGACCCCTGCTTCATCCAGTTGTTGAAGATCACTTCCAGCAAAGGAACAAAAACGGGCGACTGCCTCAAGTACACTTCGTATGGAAGATCATCTAATCTCGGAGATTTGTCCAGGCCAACCTGTTTTAGCGCATCCCAGATTTCCGATTCTGTTATGGGATCTTCGCACCTAGCCGCTTCAGCTGCCTAAAGGCAGGGGAAGTCAGTTAAATAAGTGTCGAACTGAGCAGGGATCAGACCGGGCTCCCTGGTTAAAAGTTCCTGAAAATACTCACGAAAAACCTCACATATTCCCTCGTTTGTGGTCACGGTCCGCTTATCCGGCAATGTGACGCATGCGATATGTCGCCGAGATGCACCCCGAACCTCCTCTGCACGCAAACTCAGCGACCATATTCGTTGCCTCAGGAGACATTCTTTTTAATCTAGACCTAACTACCAGAGCTTGATCCTTCTTGATAAGCAAGGAGGCCAACTCTGCCTTAGCTAAGACTACGTCCCCACTATCACGGGATTTAATCGCCCGATCACAAGCCATTTGCGACGCTAGTCTATCTAGATTGAGCCGACGACTATAATCAGCAACAAACGTTCTAATTTGGGATTTAAGATTATCCCACCAGGCATTTCCCACCACAGTCCCCGTCAGTTCCCTCTATATCATTAGTAGCAGCTGGTCCAGGAAATCTTGCTTCCCAAATAATGAACTGTTTAACCAGGCATCTTAACATTAAGCTTATCAAAGTTTACACGGACCCGGACTAGCCTATGATTCGAATAAACTATATAATGCAAACTTGGACACCCTAAGAACCCTACATCGACTCTCCTGAGTAAGACTCGGTCCAGGTAGCTAGAAAGCACCTGAGTACCCGAGCTGCCACTATTAGTCCAAGTCCACACTACATCCCGAGGGTGTTCATTTCGGTATTTATCAACAAGATCCAACCTGTCGATAAAGTCCCGAAATGGTTTCACAAATAAAAGGTTGTTAGTACCCAATTTTGACCCTATACGATCTATATCGGGGTCAGGGACGGCATTCAATCCCCGCTAAAACTACCCGGCGAGATGACGCCAAGAACGGCTCGATCTGCCGAAACAAAGCAGGCCGCTCAAAATGCTTATTGGGCGCATAAACCCCAATGAGATGTAGAGCCTTATCCTTTATGGTAACATCCAGCAGGCAAAGCCTTGAAGGACTTGCTCACCAGCCAAGAGACACCCCTCGAGCGTCCATCATAACATGCTGAATGGATGGAAAACCCTCTAGACAGAATGCTGTCATGATCGCGAGAAGAAAAACAGGTCTCTTGCACACAACATACATCCACCCCGAGACGCTGAAGGTCACGATAGAGCCTCGCCCTTCGATACTCGGACCTCAGGCTAGCTAATCAGAGAGACATTGTCAGACCGATTAAGGTTGCTCTGCTGGATTAAACATAGTCGGGGAAAGGATACCGACAGTCTCTCCCATCGGCCCATGGCCCATCTCAGTTTTGATGGTACCGTCTTGGGAGAGACCGCCGATATCCCAGGGAAAGGTCAATTTTAGTGCTCTATAGAGGGAGGGGTGAACGAAAACAGGGACCTGCCAAGCACAAAATTGTTTTAGCTTCTTTAACTTTTCGTTCTGTACAGTTGCTATGGGAGGCGTCATTTTGAAAGAGGCTATTGCCTCATCCAACATTGCCCAACATTGACGCGCTCCCGTGCTAGTTCTTATGACCGTCATAACCTGTTGGGCCTTAGGGAAGTTTTTCGGATTCACAATATCTTTGTTGGCGTACTGCTTAATGGAGTGTAGGTACTTTAGGTTTTTAATCCTACTGCTATAATCCCTGGCTTTCTCAGCTTGAGTAGGGGAGATACGGCAGATGTCTTCTCCACTATTATAGATGTGTTTTGGAAGTTTTTTCTTTTGTCGTTTGCGTCCTGATTGAGACTTCTTTGTCTATTACTAATAGGAGGGGACATTTCAGGTGTGTTAAGGGTGGTTTAAGGGGTGTTGTGGTACGATCCACCTAATTTACATAGTGGAGTACCGACCATATAAATATGGTTGGTACCGGGAAGACGGGGGAGGAAGAAGAGATCCAATCCAGAGACTCTGCCCGACTGCGACTAAGTCAACCCATTCTACAGGAACGGTCTTCCCAAGAATATACCAAACTATCTGTAAATATTGTGTATACGTTCTTGTGTCAATACATTTTGTTTAAGTACATTTTGTGTTGTATTATTATTATTCCATGCTTTATTCAAGTTTCAACAAGGGGTGAAGGACTGGGAGAGGGACAAGGAGTAACATTTTTGTCTCTCTACTGAGAGAGTTTGAGGAATGGGAGAAAGTGGAGGGAGTGACCTTTTGGATAGTAGGGGTCTTGAGAAGAGATGGTGGTGGGGAGGACTGTTTTTGTGAGGATGTGGAAGCAGTAGCATTTTTCCTAGGGGAGGTCTTTTTTGGCTGGGAGGAAAGTGTCTCTTGAGAATGTAGGGATGTAGCAGAAGTGGCCTTTTTAGACTTAGGGGCCTTTTGGGAATCTAGTTTTTCTTTTAATTTTTTAATTTTTTCGGTCTTCTCATAACCAGGATCGTATTTCTTTTGTAGTTTTCGCAGAGTGGATTCCGAGGCCGGGGCAGCGCCCTTACTGTTGACAATGGGAGTGGGACTATCCGTGTCTTTCGTCCTGGGGGCTTCAGGGGACTGAGGACCCGCTGTTCAGCGCTTCCCTCTGCCCTTACCAGCAACCAGCCATTCCACCTCTCCCTTCTCCGCAACTGCACTAGCAGAGGGCGAAAGCTCTTCGGAGAATGGGTGCTTCGAATTTAACCCAACCGGGGGTTTCTCCACTCCGGTCCCAGGAGCTGGCGAGGCGGTATTCAAAGATGCAGTCAGAGGGGGATTTTGGTCGCTTGGATCCTGACCTCCAGAGGCATTCTTCTCTGGACAGGAAGAGGAAAGGTGACCAGTCTTTCCACACTTCCAACACACCGGTTTGCGGCTAGTCACGATAAGCGGCAGCTTCAGACTCCTAATATCCAGACAGTTTGGGATGGAGAGGAAGGCATCTCGATCTAACATGATATCAAAACTCCTCCTCTAGTCAAGCTATTTCAGGAAGCACCCAGAATTTCGCCATACTGCGACTGGAAGGCTGCTAGGTGTTCACCGATAACCACAGGAGGGATGTCGTATATCGCTACAAGGACCTACGCCTTCATATACTGTTCTCATAATAATAACTTTCGTAATGATTTCTCCAGATGTCATTTTCAGGCAATCTTCTGGTGTGTGTAGCAATATCTCCCACATGAAATAGCCCGAGCCCTTAACGTTTCTTGCGCGTACGCTTATCGACAACGAAGACTGACACTATTCGTTTCTCGATTTTCTTCAGTTTTGGGGGATCCTCCAAGAGCCCACCTTTCATGACAAGGTGTGCGTAACTCTTTGCACGCTCCAAGAACTCCGCAATATCGATTATACATTTCGGTGGGGGGGGGCTTCCAACAACAGGGCAACTCCCCGGCCTCCGTGTTATCACTGGTATTATTGGTCTCCATATTATTATTTGATGATGATACTTGGTCTGGTTCTTGGCTCTTATTGGCCACTGTACTTTTTTTATTTTGGCCATTATTGGCCACCGTACTTTTTTTTATTTTGACCATTTTTATCCAGCATAGTTTTATCGAAATTGCCATTATCGGCTTCCGTACTTGTTGTTACGTCATTTGCATTAACATCCTCCTGATTATCGGGGACTAATGCCGGGTATTCATCGGGATTATTCTTATCGGGGTGGGGGTCTTTTTTAATGGAAAACAAATGTTTTCTTACTGACCTCCTAAGGTCGGATGGTACCCTTTTTTTCCATTTTCAAGGGAGGGGGGAAGGGTGATAAATAAGGAAAAAATGGTAAACAATCAAAAAAGGAACGTAAGAAAACGGCAAAAATAAATCCAAAACGTAACGGAATAACGTCAGTCAAAAGTTCAAACAATTCTCAGAGGGACAAAATAACGGTCTAACTCGGGCCTGAGGAAAAAAGAGGCAATACTGGAAAAGCAAATGCCGCCTCCTTCTCACTTGCATTTATACACTCCAATGGCAGATAACTCCGTTAACATCTATACAAATAGAAGGAATTAAGAAAAATATTTTATAAAGTTAAGAATAAAAACGGTTTTTTAGCATCTTGAAGTTCAGGCGTTCTGATAAGCTTTAAATTTTGAAAGCTTGGCAGATCGTGTCTTTGCTAAAACAAATTTGATAAATGGCTGTGAAAAGTAATGTTACCTTCAGTTTTAGGTAATAATGTGTTGATTTAATATAAATCTAACCACAGAAATATATAAGAATACACAGTAATACACACATAAACATACACACACACGTAATAATGTGGTAGATGGGGAAATATGTTGGACGAATTGTTTAATCCACCTTATTTTCTTCTCGCCTGTGTTTTTTTTTTGTTTATTTCTTTCTCAAAAAGATGCAAACAAAAATTAACGGAAATGATCAGATAAAGTAACTTGTTTATATCAAGGAAAGATGAAATGCCAACCACAATGTTTTTAGGAAATAAATAAGAATTTGTTATATTTTTTAATTTTAATAATATTTTTTAAATCATTTCTTAGAAGAAGAAGAAGAAGGGGTTGTAATTTCCTACTCGGTTTAATAGCAAATGGATAAGCAAAAGTAAGTTTATTTCTGCTAAAAGAATGCACTTCACATTTAGTCACTGTTAAAGTGGAATTTCGGAAATTAATTACGTTATAAAAATTACCAGTGTACCATGTGTTTTTCTTCTTGAGTGATAGAAAAACAGAAGTACGCCTATATATTTATGAAGGTACTATATGTGCACGTGTGTATGTTTTTTTTAAACAATCACACAATATTTGTTTATATACTGACAAAATTGTTTTTCGCGCTACAAGAATTAACCATATTTATTAACCATGAAGTGGACTGGAGGCTGTAAGCTTTTCAAGATAAAATTTAAAAAATATATATTTAAATTAAGTATTTTTAGGTTGTATTTCTTCATAGAGATGAAAAGGATTTTATGAAATATTTATAATCGTTTCGAGAAGAGAAAATGATTTTACATCATAAACCAGAAGTGGAGATAAAATAGAATTGAAAATATTAGAAATATGATCTTAATTATTTGAACTTTATTTCAATAATGCACAATCTATTGTGTATGAAAATTATGGCACCAGTGTGCATGCTTCCAACTAATTTAAAACGCTTTTACAGTCAGATGTTCTTACAGTGACAGTGTTATTTACAAAGATTTTTCTTATGGGGGCAGGTAGTTGTTTATAAGTTTTTCGTCATTGAACTTAAGCGATTTGTCAGTCTACGACTTAATAACGCCTACGACTTAATAAACTTGTTTTGTTTATTACAAGAATTACAGTTTTATACGGGGCAATGAAATAGGTTGTCTGAAGTTTGGATTTGATAGGCGTGTTGTTATTGGTAATTATGAGGTTGGTCGTTTTTAATTTTCTATCTTTAGTTTGTGCATCCATTCCAATAACCAACAATTACTATTCTTAAAAGAGTGCTCAATACAAAGTAGAGCAGATATAATTATTATTTTTTTAAAAATCAGATTAAAATACATAAGCAGCCAGTGGTTAACATTTATTTAATGATACTTTAAGTCTTAAATATTTATTGGTTGTGGTATCTGATTGTCTAGGTCATTGTCTGTGGATGTGTGTACGTGTATCTATCGGTGTCTATGTGTATGTAGAATGCATTCACATTTAATTGTGTGTGTGTGTATAGGTGTTGGTTTCCCCGTTTCCTTTTTTCATAAAGGGTTGTAGTGATGTTTCTGTCTCGTCGCCTTTTCTTTCTTTTTTCTTTTTTTTTGTGTGTATATATATATATCTAAATATGTCTGGGTGCTTATGTATTATAATCTGATTGTGTTTTAGTTGTTTTGCGCGTGAGTTTAAGACCACATTCACACACTTTAGAATAAAAAATATATATATATGTATTGTCAAATGACCGGATATATTGTAGCGTCTTGTCGAACGTAATTTCAACGAAGAAATAAATTGAATAACATATGTATTTTTCTTTTCTCAATAATTTTGTAGTTTTTAAACTTAATAGTGATTAAATTTGGATTTTAAAATTGCCAGTTTTTAATTTTAATATTAAATTTTATCATATAATTTTATAATTATTGGTTAGTATAAATTATTTTTAATATTACCCGTATTTTAAAGATCTGAACAGCTATTATAACATGATTTCGTTGTCAAGCTTTTGAATCTTTCTATACTTCGTTTTTGATTGGTTATTCTAGCTTTTGTAACAATGTTTCCCCCTAGTGTAGGATCGTTAATTAATCTGAAACTTTTAAAACCATTTATTTTATCTTAAACATCATCACTTGATAAGACACCGAGTGTGTTGAAACAAAATGGCTATTTTTGTAGTGATTTTATAACATACTTATGTTATAATTTTTTTATAAATAATAATTATATCTGCTCTACTTTGTATTGAGCACTCTTTTAAGAATAGTAATTGTTGGTTATTGGAATTCATTCGTATATACTAAATTATATTAATATATATATATATATATATATATATATATATATATATATATATATATCAGCCGTATAGGTACCTCCGCTAGGTCGCGTAAAAAACAGCATATCACGATGAAGAAAGGCCCAAAACTCAACGAAAACAAAGTTTTGTCATCAATATGTTTATGTTGTTATTAAGAGGAAAGACCAACGTATTCTTTTTAATTAATTTTTAAAGTTTTTACTCCTTTCTATCACATTGAAAATTTTGGTTAAAATTTTTGTTTATTTTTACGACAGTGCAATGATAGAGAAAAAAGGTTTGTTTTATTTTGCGCTTTTCCCGAGGGAAACACACGTTGATTTGGAAATTCTTGCAAAAATCAAATAATTGTCGGATTTTAATGAAACTTTCAGGAAATATTCAGAAATGAATGAAATTATTTTTAAAAATTTTTTTAGAAAATCTTTTTAAAAATATATTTTTTTAACATGTTTCCACCCGCTTACATATTTTCATGAAATTTCGAGAAATTAAATCTTTAATCATGGGATTTGTTTTATTATTTAAAAACAGGACTCTTTATAGAAAATAAATCACCATATTTTGGGGGGTGTTTTTTAAACATTTAGCGCTATCATAGAAAATCTGCTCTGAATTATAAAAAAAAATGTCAAAAAACTATGACATTAATTAATTAGCTTTGATTTACTTTTGTAAATACGTTATATTAAGGACATTATTTTGTGAAGAGAAAAATGTATTTTTATAAAAAAATTTTTCATTTAAAAATTTTTTTTTTATTAATATTAACTTATTAATACTTCAAAAATTGTTTAAAATTCTTTATTGCTTTTATTCACGTAATGCAATGATAACGTTAATGGAAAAGTGAATTTACGAATCGAAATTTGAAAAGCTCAAGTCGTTTGTAACCGAATATTTTAAAAATAATTTCAAAAAAAAATTTTAGTGAAAAAAAAGACGTTCCTAATTTCTATCTATGGGGAATCTATGCATGACATAATCCTTAAAAATATCACGTGATTTGATTGTCGTCTGAGGCACTTCAATTATTTACCTTTATCCAGTTCTGTTTCACATCGTTAACGTGTTTGCAAAAAATCCTTTCAAAATTTCTAAGTTAGTTTTAATTTTTGGGAATTCATTTTTTATTTATTTTAGTTTGGGTCATATTTCATGGAAGTAATTTTTTATTTAAGTTATTAAGTTGTTAAATAAGATAAAAAGATTAAGAACCTAAGAAACGAAATCCAGACTAAAAAAAATATTAAATAAAAATTTCTGAATAAATGTTAATATTTAAAAATTACTAGTTAAAAATAAAATAAAACGCGTTCGCTTACTTCGTAAAATTGTCAAAATTTCATCATCCATAATAGCTGTCATCACCTCTTTAACTTCTCGATAACATCGATAACGTGAATAAAGACATGAAAAAATTCAGACACATCGTTAAGAAATGTTTGGATACAATTTTTTTATGCTATAAGTAAGTACTGTGTTTCAAATCAGATTAATTTAACTTTAAATTTTCTAATTTTACTTAAATAACGTGTCATAAATATATAATTTATTTTAAGAAGAAGTTTAAAATCAAATTTTCTTTTTGTTTACAAATTTTTAAAAAGAAATTTAAAAAAAAATCGAGCATATATTTGACATTCCAATCTATATAATTTCTATCTGAAATACACCAGAATATTTTAGTTACTGGAAATAATAAATTTAATTCTTAGCTTTCAATTAAAGCTAAAATAAAATCTTTAAGAATGCTTTTTCATTTTTAAAAATTCATTTTAAAACTTAGGTATCGAAAAATTGAATGGAGGTACCTATATGGCTGATTTATTGCAATAATGAATATATCGTACTAATTAGCCGTCTCTTAAATATATCAAAATAGGTAATGACAAAGCTTTATATACGACAGTGTTCAAAGGCAAAATGCAGGGAACTGAAAAGGAAAAATTTTAAACAAAAGATCCCCAAAGATGGGCTCCATGGAAAAATGGTTATGTTATGTGTGTGATGAAATCATCAGGGTGATATTCATTTACAGTTCTTAAAGTTCAATGAAAAAGTAAATTCATATTATACGTCTAAACAGATGCAAATGTATCGATATACATTTGGCGAAAAGCGCCCCGAGTTCGTCAGTAGGAAACATGTTTCTCTCTTTCATAGCGTAAGTTCTTTTTCATTTTTAAAAATTCATTTTAAAACTTATGTATCGAAAAATATAATAAGAATAACACAGAAAAAATGGAACTCGGTTGGTGTATTCCACTCCACCCACTATATTCACCTGATCGTGAACTACCCGATTTTTCAATAGCTGCAAGACGCTTTGGGGAGGAAAACTTTCTCTCTTTTAAAACCGTGGAAGAAGTATCAAAGGACTGACTAAGCGACAGCAAGTCATTGCAAATAATGGTAAACATAATTTAATAGCATTTACTTTTATTTTATGTTTTGAAGAATAAATTTAATAAACAAAATGGAAATTATGATCCAGCTTAATGTGTATATGGTTGGAAGAAAAGTTGGCATCATCTTTCAACAGGTTGCGTCTAAATACATGAGTGGACATGGAATGTTATATGTGCTTACATTAAAAGTGGAATGAAGGAAAATGAGAAGCATAAAGTTATGTACCGTTTATGGAGTTGGTGCCATAACAGAGTGTATTTCACTAAGTTCAGGAAATTGGAAATTTTGATCTGAAAAACAGACAACATGGAACATCGGAGAGCTAGGCCAGATATTTCCTATGAGCGTTGTAAAGTATTTGAAAACACCTAGATACGAGAATCGTTACAATATTTGGGCACCTCAAGATTTAACTGAAAAATTAATTAACCGTATTTCCATCTCCGATTCTATGACTAAACGCAACAAAAGAACTCCTTTTTTAAGAACGATAAAATGATTTGTTTACAAAAATATCGAGCAAACATTAATCATGGCTAAACGAAATAATCCCCCGTCCACTACTGCAAAAGCTGGTAAGATTGAAATCTGCCTATATATATGAGATGAGGTATTTCAATTATTTACATTTTTGGATTGTTATCCTCATCTTTATTGCCATATTCACGACATTTCTGTCGTTGTACGCTCCGGCCTTCTTCATGCGATAGAGATTTTGAATTGAACTGTTTATTCCGTACACCGGGGTAGATTGTTCTAATTCCGCATTCCATGCCTCTTCCGGATGTCTCAGTTATCCCTGTTTAACTCAATTCTCCAAGTTTTTGTTTACCACTGCAGTAGCTAGGTATTGAACTCACAACTCTTTCGGTCAAGTCACTTTTATCCACTGAGCCATGTGTCCTTGAGGTGAAATTTTGGGACTTATAAACTTAATGTCTCAGTAACTTTTTTTTCCAAAGCTCATATTTCAATTTTGTTGTTTTTATTGCTTTTCTCTAGCACTCCGTATTACTGGTTCCATATTGTATTCATTTCTATGCTTAAGAGATTTTTGTGTCCTAGTATATGTGATGATTCCTTAAGTTTTCGTACTTTTCAGTGATGTTCTCTGTCTATGATTTCAGCCTCATCCCACGGGGTGATTTCCCTTTCACTCCATATGTGGTTAGCTACGCATGATTTTTCTATTTCCCCTCGCGTTACTGCTTTACGATGTTCTTGCAGTCTTAGCTTAAGAAGGCGGCCAGTTTCTACTTTATATTTCTTATCACAGCTGCATGGGATGGCGCAGACAGTGTCTTTAGTCATGATTTCCTTTATGGGATCTTACTCAGATGAACCACAGATCTTTTGTATTTTCTCCGATAATATCTTCACATAAGGTAGGTATGGCATGTAGAACTGGAACAATTTACGCTGGTGGACGAAATAAAGGGTTCAGTTTGAAATTCCAAACACCTGACAAAAGCCGGAGCATACAAAGGCCCAAAGGTCGTGAATATGGTAATAAAGAGTCCAGCTGTCCGAACATTGTAAATAATATAAATAACGAAAGGGCATTGTTTATTACGAGCTTATTCCGCAAAAGTAGACGTTAAATGCAGATAAGTACCGTTCCTAGTTAAAAGCAGAAAACGTTGAAAAGCGTCCGCATTTAGTCAATGGGATGCATATCATTTTCTATCAGAACAACTATAGACGTTATCGAAATTGGCACTGCTTAACTGTGATGTCCCACTCATCAAACCTTGCAACTTCGGATTACCACTTATTTCAATCCATACAAATTTTCTTAATAGGAATCAGCAGCATTGCAGTCTGTACCTTGAAAGTGGTCATTGAATTCATTAACAGCAAACACCCCATTGACCGTAGGCTGAACTGGTGGCTATGTAAAGGCACCATTGCTCGAACCAAGCTAAGAAAATGTATAAAAAGTCACTCCAGTCACAAACTAGGGCACTGCCTCAATAGGTTGCACCTGCAGTGCATGCGTCGGATACTGTGCATTTCCTGGAGGAACCAAGTGATGAACAAGGCCGTTCTGCACCCTGCCAGGTTTCCAAAAAGATATTTCCTCCTGCAACTGCAACTGCGTGGGTTTAGTGACTTTAGCCGCATGCGGGATGGCTATACCCTGAAAATTTATTGCATAGGAAGCTTGTTGTAGGATCTTGGCAGGAAGAGTGTTCACAACTGCAATACTAGATCCAGTGGATATCAGATAGTACAATTGAGAAGAGGTAGCTGCAGACATCTGCGTCTGGTGATAGGTTGTATGTTCATGTATCGCTGTTGCAGATAGGGACGAATCCGTGTGTTGGATAAAGAAAGTTTGCGGCAGCAACCACCTAACTGCAGCACAGAAACTCATTCACAAATCAACTTGTTCAGCCGCATCGGATGCTGTTCGACATCCTTAATAGGAACAGTCATTCTATTACAGAAAGAATCATTGAAATCCGTGCCATTTGCACAGTCAGTGAAATCCTTGTCTGGCTTGCTCGGGTTTATTGACAGGCCTAATGTGCCCGATCCTCAGTAAATGCATATTATTGCAACTTTTCACCAAACTAAGTTAAGATAAGCATGTACCCGTCTTTCTATTAGAAATCAATTATAATATTGAATGGCGATTTGCAAATTTAATTTTAGAGTTATAAATATATAACGTGTAGAACATTTATGTGTGACTCATTTTGAAACTTTCCTTATTAGTCGATCATAGAATTAAGACATCTGTATTCATTCTGGTTGTCTAATTTGTCTAACTGGATACTTATAGAAAGTTTTAAGTAGTCTTCATCTAATGACACCAAAGTAAGTGGTTGTAATACACAAATTTATTTGACATAAAATCTGATTTATTTAAAAGTTGTCCATAAGTATAACACTGATGACTGAAAATTCTAATTTCAATGTAGTTTTTCCTGGTTGCTTTGAATATTATGGATGTTATATCGAATATTCATTGAATCCAAGTCTATTTCACTTTTCACCATAAGAGATGCAAACGAAATGATCAGATAAACAATTTCTATCTATCGATCTATCTATCTATCTTTTTATGTATGTATGTATGTGTATGTGTGTGTCGGGGTGCGTTTCATGACTGAACCCTGGTATTCTAATGTTAACAAGCCTCTTTATTTTTCTTTATAATTTTTTAAAAACATATCTGAGATGTACGAAACCCGTTTTTTATCCAAAGTCGTGATAATTTATCAAAGAACATTTAATTTCCTGCTACAAGAAAATTGAAGAACCAGTTTCAGTTGGTATTTTCACATTGAGCAACTGACAAAAGTGGAAATCCAGATTTCTAGAATCTGTCTCTGATCTGTTTTAGGACACCGCATTGCACACAACTTCTCTTCATCAACACCCTGTAAATAATTAAAAGACCATTTAGGAGTGGATTGAAAGCCAGACTCTTTAGAAGGTAAATACGAGAATTAATTGGTGATACTTGCATGTTGCTTACAATCTTGTGTAGAACTTAGATAATTCATGTAAACTTGAAACTCTCGTATTGTCTTTTCGGATAGGGTATTATCTTTTTCTGAACGACATGAAAGTGAATTTAGAAAAATAGACGTTGTAAAATAATTTTCGATGTCCAAAACTAAATAAACAATCGATAACCTCCTCAAATCTAGCAATCCTTTTGGATATAAATTATTTTTACTCTCATTATATATATATATATATATGTGTGTGTGTGTAAATTGTTCCCAATGCTCACATTTCCACTTCTCTTCCCATTCTTTATTCCTTTTCTCCATCTCCCTTTCCCGTCTCATTATGTAGTCCATCTCATTTTATATGTTTAGTACTTGTAAAATATTCTTTGGATTCTTTTCCTCCCAATATTTTGCCATTTAATTGAAGACATATTATATCTCATGATGACTTGCAATCATTACAATGAGAGTTTTTCAAGTGAAAGAAAATACTGGAGGTATCATGGCGCGCTACCTTTGTTCAGTGATGAGATTCATCGACTAAACTGAGCTCCGTTTCCAAACTTATTTTTAACAGATTTTAGCCAACAATAACTGTTACGACGCTTTTTGTTTCCATCTTAAAGCTTAATTGTAATTCATTGTACGCATTGAAAATCAATAGTTTTTTTAATACTTTTTAAAAGTTAGAAGCAAAGCTTTCTTTTTAGTGCGATAGTACAAGATGTAGACAGGAAGGGCAAACATGTATCTCATTTAATGTGAAGAAAGCAAAAGTTTATGGTTGTAATTGTCTTGCTGCTTACACTGGCATAATGACACTGGAAAACTTTCACAAGTATGCATGATTTTTTCTTAAAATAATAACAGAAAATTTGCGTTTGGGTTAACCTTATGCCAAACATCGCTTTTGTTCTGAAAAAATTCGGTTAGCTGAGCCGATGTCAATAAAACAATCTTTTTATTGAACTCATTTATTTGCAAGCAATAACTCAGTAATATGCAATAACTTGTTTCAGCCAAAGAAGATATTAACATTATTGATGAAATAAAAACTGCTTTTTAAAAATAATTTCAAAATTTTGGTTTTCTTTTTTATATAAAGTTTACTATAAAAATTACAGAAAATGCATAATTATTGTGCTAAATATATGTGAGTGCAAATTAAATAAGCTTAGTAAAGATCAAATATGCTACATGAATAACGAGTTTAATCTTTACTGCGTGCTCCAGTAACATGACTGAGAAAATGTGTGTCAGGTGTGATCTTACACGAAAAATTTGATCATCTACATTTTTAAGTTCAATTACTACACATTCATGATAGCGAATTCTTTCAAATATTTTCCCTGTGGAAAATACGAAACTCTTAAAGGGGGAGAAAATAGATACCTCATGTATGAGATTTAAAAAAAAAATATGTGATTTCCACTCGTACCAAAATTACAATATACACTTTTATCTGTTTATTTACCTACACTGATCATGACGAAATAGTATCTCGAGATTATTACTCAATCTTACACAAATGTAACTTTTATGCATCTATCCTTTTTATTTTTTATTTTTTTTTACAAATCGTCAGAATCGTCTAGCTCACTTGTATCGATACAAGATATAACTGTGATGAAGGAAAAACTAAGAAACATTTGTAGAATAGAATAAAAGAAAACATTGAATCAAAAAGGTGAATTTCTTGGAAGATGAATAGAAAACAATGTATCATTTCAACTGTAAAATCCGCGCAAAGAATGATAATGTTAGTTATTGTGAACTTTGTTTATATCAGTATAAAATCTCGTTCTTAATGAAATTCAGTTATGTGGGATGATTTGTACATTTATTTCTCACTTCGAATTTTCTGTATCGACTTAGTCAAGCGACCGATCAAGTTTTGAGTAAAAACGGTAATTTCTCAAACCGGTTTTATGTCCATGTTTTCAGTGAAACACTTTGTAAATATTTGCTTCGAATGGCTGATATGAAGCTGAGAGGTGTTTAACTTTTTTGTTATTGATAGACGTTACGTCACATTAGACTTATTACTATTAGAGTGAGAAAGCCAATAAATCATATTAACGCACACACATACATACACACACACACACACACACACACATATATATATATATATATATATATATATATATATATATATACACACGGTATATTTCTATTTTTCAATTTTTTTTATTAAGGTGTTATATATCTTAGAAGCGTTTCGGTAAGTGCGACACTGAGATCCGTAGACGTATTGGGACGCATTCCAAAAGCTGGGCGAAGTATTGCGAGACAAGAGAATTTCTTCGGTTTTGTGATGTCAACGAACACTCGTTGCCACTTTTGTGATGCCGACGAATACTCGTTGTCACTTTTGTAATGCTCGTTATAGAATCGCAGATACAGCTATAGTAACGCTATTAAACAGTACTGGTGTCAGACGCCTTCGAATAACACTCGCAATAATAGTACTTGCTCGATAATACTCGCTTGAATAGTAATCCGTATAGAGAAATAGTATAGTGAATAGAGTAGAGAATAACGGTCACATGGTCTATTTAATTAAAAAATGGGATCGCCTGTGTTTGGTCAAAGTGTTGGCAGTGAACTTTATTCCTATATAACATTTGGTATCAAAGCTTTTCTTTAATATTGAGCTGTTATGTGACATCTGTCCTCCTTTACGGCAGCGAATGTTGAACGATTTACTCAAAGATGAAGAAGAGACTTGAAGCGACGGATAATTGATTCTACAGAAGGATACTAAAGGATAATATGGACCGAACGTGCGAGCAACTATGAGGTCTTAGAGAGGATGCAAACAAGGAGGAGGCTTATACTTAACATCAGGAAGAGGCAGCTGAAGTTTCTGGGACACGTAATGGGGAGGGAGTGCCTGGACAATCTGCTACTGACAGGTCAAATAGAGGGAAAGAGAGACAAGGGGAAACAATGCATGACATATCTAGCGGGTTAGTGGATGGCAGAAGGTGGGAGAGGTACGGAACTTGTTGGGAGCTGCAAGGGAGAGCCATGATCGCTGAAAGGACACGGCATATAGAAAGAAAGAATATTGCGATCAAAATTGTGAATAAACTGTCTGAAGTTTATATTTGTTCTGTCGTTTTGTTCAAGTATTTTCGACCATCTCAGTCATTTCAAACAATCATGTGTTGTTAGTGTGGTAGACAAGATTCTAATGGCTACATCCTGATATTTTTTGCAAAGTTTAAAATAATCTACAGTGGCGTCATGTTTAACGGTTAAGGGGCGTGAGACCGCACCGAAAAGAATGATTTTTTTAATACGCATATTAAATATTTCATACACATTTCAAGATACCGTCTCTAGTGATGAAAGATATTTTATTTAATGTGAGTTGCTTTTTCTCTATAGTAATAACTCCTAAGTTTCTGATTATTTCCTTGCATTGGATGCTGTATAGTATTTAGATATTTTTCACTAATATTTTTCTTACGTTGTCTTATGTTGTTGGTTACATTTTGGTTGTTCGTGATGTACTGATGAATATGTGCACGAAGTGCAAAGAGTTTTAACAGGTGACAAATTATATATATATATATATATATATATATATATATATATATATATATATATATATATATATATATATATTTATGCGCTTGTAAATGAGAGAGAGAGAAAAAGGAGGGAGAAAAAAGAGTCTTTTTTACGTGGAATAGCTGACTACCAGAGAGAAAAGTTTCTTCTATTAATGAAAGACATTCTTCAATGTCATGATCTTATTACCAATCGTGACAAAAAAGAAAAAGGAAAAAGGAGAGCAATTTAATAACTTCTATCAGACTCAATCATGTCTAAATTCGTGCAACCTGCAAGATACAAAACATCCTTGAAAAATATCTGAATAAGAAATCACACATATAGATAGATAGATAGATAGATAGATAGATAGATAGATAGATAGATAGATAGATAGATCCCCCCACCACAAAAAATCCGTCCCAAAGACCTGAAATAGAATCCATTTTGCCACAGAAATATTTAATTTATAAATAAAATAAATGGATAAATGAAGCGCTTGTTATTTTCCCTTATAGGGAAAAATAATTTAAGTAACTTAAAAACAAAGAATCATTATTATTATAACCAAATAACATTTCTTAGAACTACGAGATGGAAATATACCCCAAATATACACCAAATAAAGATCATTTTTTGTATAGACACAGCTTAACTGACATTCCACAAAATATATAAATCTTGTATCCACATACCTTATATTACAAACAACCTCATTTACTCGAACAGAATCATACAAATTGCTTTACTTTACGGATTGACATTATGTAAGAATTCAGTTGTCTACGATCAACAAGAGATGAAAGCTGAAGATAAACGAAGATACGTGTTGCAAAATATATCAGTGCTAGTATCTAATTGCCCACAAAAGAATATTTATAATATTGATTCGGCTTTCCGAACTGAATTATCGATACTATACATAGCCAACCAATCATTACAAATACAAATGCATATGAGAAATTCGCATTTAGATGATACAAGTACTATTTTTTTCAAGCATTCTGATGGTAGATTCGCCTGAGATAATGAATGTAAGGTCAACACACGGTCTGTTTCATGCTTCAACGCAATCATATGTCTTGTGCTTTGGCTGGACTATTTATATATGCTAGTCAATGGTGCTTTATGGGTAACAAGGTCTGTTGTATTATTTTAAAGGTGATTGGATGGGCTGTAACGCTTATGTCTCAAATTATTCTAGAAGCTAGAAATAATTGTGGATCTGAATGAATTTTATATTTTAACTAGCAGTAGAGCCCGGCGTTGTCCGGGGATGTAACAGTAAGAGATAGATCAAGTATCGACCATCATAAAGACTGAAAAATAAAATTTACAAAGATTATTGTTTAAGGTTGACGGACACGCATGTCTTAATTATTTTTTTTTTTTTTTTTTACGAATTGGTCAAACCCAAATTCAAACAAAAACATTGTTTACAATCGTTATGAGTCTATCGATTGGTGAATAGAATTTTAAAAACAATTGTCTTGTAAATGGAATTTTTAAAGCATTCTGAATGTAAATAAAGAAAAAAGTGTGCAAGACAATAAGAAATACTACCTGCCGAAAAAAAAAAAAAAGTGTGGATGTTTGTTTTATCGGCTAAAAAATGTAAGAAATCCGATCCCATATATAAAGGAACACACACACACACACAAACAACCTGGTTTTTTTTAACCTAAGTCACTCCACGGAATCGCTAAAACATAGAGCATAGTCTGATGAAAAAGACGCTAAAGTTTATGAAAACAAAATTTTATCGTCAAAATGCTTATGTTTTTATGAAGAGGATAGACTAAATTTTTTTTAATGATTTTAAAAATTTTTTCCATCTTTTTAGAATATTCTAAATTTTGATTTAAAAAACCTTGTTTCTCTTTGCCGCAACAAGGGGTAGTAAATATCATAGATAATTTTAGCGCATTTTTTTTTGTATTTACACACATTAATTTGGAAAATCTTGCAAAAAATAAAAATAATTGTCAGATGTTAATGAAACTTTCAGAAACTATTCACAGATGATCGAAATTATTATAAATATTTTTTTTTTATTAAAGTCATGGCAGAAACATTTTTTTTATATTTATTAACACACCATAACTAATTTTATGAAAAACTCTAGAAATTCGAGACCATCGGTTTTAGTGATTACAATAGTTAAAAGCACAAGGCTTTGAAGAATGCAAATCATGTTTTTTTTTAGTTTTTTTTCTTTTTTGGCCAACGTACCTGAAAATCAGCTGTGAATTGTAATATACAAAACTCAATAAAACAAATATATTATTTAGTTTCAAATGCTTTTATTTGTTTTAATTTGTTTTTTATGAATATGGACAATATTTTCTGAAAGCAAAAAAATTTTTCAATGAAAATTGAATTATTTCTTATTTCTTTAATTTTAAAAAGATTTTTAAAAAATGTTTAAATTGAATTTTAAAAAATATTTTAACATTAGTTAAAAGCAACATCAACCTTTCAAAATGTCCGTGTGAGATTGTCATTGTCTAGCGCTTTGAAAATTGTATAATTTGGACCAATCAGATTAGCCATGGTAATTAAGAAATGTAATTTTTGTGTTTATAGTCGGACAGTAATTATCAAGTACGGAAGACCAACCAGAATACAATTTAGTTGCATTATTTGAGTTCAGCATTGTTCTCCGCTGTTAAGCCCTTTACTTTTTGCGAAACACTTATGGAGAAGTTAATTTGAATTTTCAATTTCAACTGAGAAGGGTACCTACAAGTAACAGTATCATCTTATGAAATTTAACTACCACTAAACTTTAATTTATATGATCTTATTTTTATATTAAACTCAGTTATGACATTTTTCCATAAATGAAATATCAAAATTAATAATAAAATGAATGGAAATACAAATAACACAGTAAAATGTAATAAATGTACATAAAATTATAGTATTTTATGTACACTTCTGATAAAATTTCATAAGAAAGGTACCTAAATTAATTAGATACCTTTTTCTTATGAAATTTAATCTCACTATTAACAGTCTTATTTTTTAATTTCTTTATATTTTCCATAAAGCATCGTAAACGTAAAAATGAAAGCTAAGTACAAAAAAAAAAAAAAAATAAAAAATAAAAAATTAGAGCGCTGAAAGTTTTCCTTAAAAGTAACAAGGTAAATAATTTGTTCATTTAAATAATTTCACTTCCTTCCATCCGTAGAAAGAATTCTCCTCCCGTAAGTTCTCTAAACGTCATGAATGTGCCTTTCGTCAATCGTCAAGCGACGCGAAAGGTTATGACCTGCTTTGTTTTATTTTCAAATTACATTTTTTCGGCGCAGAAGCTAAGTTAAGCTTGGTTCAAAATATTTTAAATAAACAGTATAATTTCTGTTTTTATTATATTTGAAAAAATGATAATTGATTTTTAAAAGAAGTCAGATTTTAATCTTTTTTATCAAATCGAAAAAAATGATTGAAAATGATTATCTGTCCTTTTTTTTTTACCAAAAAAAAAAACAATATTTTAACGAAAATTTCAGACGTGCTAGTAACGATTAAAAATGTAAAAAAAAATACCCCAAAATACTTTTGATCTTTCCTCTTTAATAATAATATGAACATTAGACGATAAAATTTTGTTTTCGTCAAGTTCGGCGTCTTTTTCATCATGCTATGCTCTTTTTTTTACATTTTCGTGGGTGAGTTGTCCCCCTTTCATTCTCACGATGTGTCTTAATCGT